ATATTTTGTGTATATTTTATTCAAATTTTGTGCTTTATCCACAGGACCCATTTTGTTCCTATTCTCAAGAATCACTGGGTTCTATGGAGAGGGAGGTATTGGTTCATTCATTGGGCCCAGTTTCTAAATATGTCAGATTCTGAAATTCCTTTCTCCACTCCCCCATCTGCACTCCAAACCTTGCAGTACTAAATGCTGTGTTTACACAGAGAAAAATCAGCCACTACCCAGTAAGTAATGGCTGATTTTCCATCAGGTTCAAGAAAATTTCAAAGAATTCTAAGGACATGTATTTGACTCATTTAGATTTTCAACTGTGGTTCTGGTCTAATAAAAGCATTTCATATCTTTCACTTCAGTTCACTCATCTCCCTATTGAATTTTCACTCTTCTGAGATTGGACTCCAGCAATATTTGCCGGGGTGGGAAACCCAAACCGCCCTCTTTTCTGAGACATCACACCTGAACTCCTTCTCTTCCAGATAGAGATAACTTCAGACCTTCATTTATCAGGTCAGTGCTGAATAGCTGAGATGTTTTGTGCAGGAAAACAGCAACGTCTGATCAGCTTACAGTTTTACTGTAATGTATGATTCAGATCCTACCTAGATTATGTTAGCTATTTGTCATACAGTCTGAATATTAAAAAAAGAACGTTCCCTGATAAATGAGACCAATATAAGTAACATTAAAACTTTTGATATCGAATATATAAATGTATCATGTAACCTCTTCAACTCAATTGAAAACAAACTGGAATCTTCTGGGTGTGACATAAGTAAACAAATGGTGTGTTTATATAAATGTGAATGACTCTAAACTTTGTCCTTGCAGTCACTTTCAAAACCTAAAGAGGTTTTGAGGTTTTGCATTATAACCCTCTTCAGTTCAGCTAACAGATTGTTAATATGATTCAGGCCTTTTCTCTGGTTGAGCTGTCATAGAAGTGTAATATTCTTCTTTTAAGGTCTATATTGTGTTGTTGACTGTGGTTCACGGGGTAGGGATTCGTTCTGTAACCAAAAGGTTTCTGGTTCAACCCCCCAGTTTGTTTGCCCCTTGTGTTGTGCCCTTTGACAGCTCACCCACCTCACCTGTTGGGACCCCGGTGGCAGACAAGCTTCTGGGTAGCAGTGGCTACAGTGCGGCTTACCGCCATAAGGGTGTGAATAGCTACAGTTATTCACACAACTTGAGGTCATTGAACTTGGCAAAAAAAAAAAAATGCTATGCAAATGCGGGCAACTTACCATTTGTTGCCATTTCTGTTTATCATCAGCTGTTTAGTGTCCTTCACTGATTGGTACTTGAAACTGTTCATAATTCTCCTTGTCTGTTCCATGGAAATAAACAGTGCCTTAAAGTATGATGCTACAACTGCGATGCCTCCAAGTGTTAAATGTGTTTTAACACATTTTGTCCAGCAGGCTTTTGGGATACTTAAATGTGTTTTAACACATTTTGTCCAGCAGGCTTTTGGGATACTTAACTGTGTTTTTTCTAAATTTATCTGGACTTGGACGACAGTATTCCATTATTTATCTAATGCCTTGGAAATTAATTGTATGTAATTTTCTAATTTATCAAATTGGAAGCTCTCCACAGAGAATTAAAAGATTTGTGATGTGACAGACATGTTGCTTTCGTAAATGATCAGCTATTTGCCTGTTTTGCCACAAGATGGCATCATGTAGCCACTATCCAAAGAGAGCCATTCTGACCAACAACGAGAACACTTTAAATATGAACACAGATATTATATGCTGTCTTCATGCGATTGAATGGAAAATGTTTAAGGCGGAAGTGTAAAGTGTGTTTTTATTGCTGGACACAAACGGGGAAATCTTACTCTTGGTGCCATTTTGTCTTGGGAGATTATCTCCTAAATAACCCCAAAGAACACTAAGCACAGAAATAACTAACAGAGGTTTTATGCGAAGGGAGGATTTCAACATTTTCTATTAAAACCTCACCTACAGGTTTCCAAATCTGGTTTAATATCTGTTAAGGCACTAAGACTTGGCAGCCCGCCCAGTAGCACAGCCTCCTGGGATTGATTCAGCCAATGTTCCCACCCAGGAATTCTGGATGTCTGACGGGAAACAGGCCCAACTCTCCCAAGGCCACTATAAGTCAGTCTCTCCCTTCACCCCAATACTTCCTCCACGCCCCCCAAAAAAATGCCTCCAGGGGGTTTTATGCTGTGCTTCTCTCAAGACAAACTATCTCAAAAACAGACAGCTTTCTTCGCCACACCCCACTTCATCATCCCCGCTCTCTGCCCAGTTTCCCATCATTGCCCGGTCTTGCTTTAGCCTTTAAGCTACTGAATAATTTTATTAGGTAAGAAAGCCGTGATTAATGCCCACGCAGCATTTGCACGCACGATTCCCAGCTTTCAAGTTGAAGCTAGTGCTCCTCTGACCTTGTCAGAGCATGTTTGGATTTAATGCTGCATTTTAAATACTTTGCAGATCTAGGCACAACAACAGAACATCTCTGGGCCTGCAGAGAGGCCCCAGCTGCCTCCGAATTTCTTCACAGCCTGAAATGAAACTCGAGCACGCAAAATTTGTTTCGGTATGTCATTTATTTGATAAAACTGGAATGCATTTAACAAAAGGTTTAAGTACCTCCATTAGTGTTTAGGATTGTACCAATTTAACACAGGCAGCGTGCTACAGAACACACAAAGCTATTGCACACAAGACATTTCATACCACACAGAAAATCATACATACTGTACAAAGATACAACATAATTACACATTGCTATTTATAATATTTGTCAAACAAAAACATCGACATACACTGAAAATCATACAGATTAAAACACTGTTCCATCCAAAAGGGGTAAAAAAAAAAACAGGGGAAATTTAAACATCACTGAAGCTGCCAAAGTGCTTTTCACCATTTCTACTTGGCTGTCTAAATGCAAATGTTACTCTTAAAAAAAAATAAAAATACTAACGGAGAGGAAAAGTTTTCAATGTCTGTCTACAGGAAGGTTAGTGTAACCCTGAACAACAGGAAAAGGACAGTTGAAAACAGGACTTCCTAGATCTGGAGGAAGTTGCATGTTTTATGTCAGAGAATGAAGAAGCATTTCTCCCAGGAGGGCAGATCCCTCCTGTGCGTTTTGAAACCGGACCTTCTCCCATCCTACAGAGGCGGTGAGGGGTCGGGTGGGGTCTTTGGAAAGACGAGTGGTTGTTTACGCTTTTAGTCGCGCAAAGCATTATGGCTAGCAAAATAAACTATTAATTAATTTCTTGTTCTTGGTGCAAGACGAGTTCACAGTGAGGGTGATCTACTCTGTTCATGCCACTCTCTGCTCATCAGTGACTTGGCATTTCAAAAACCTGATCTATAATACTGTCTAGAACGGAGGGCGCGCGCTCCGACACTTCATTCATACATTCAGCCTTTTTTCTCTCTCTCAGAGGAAGGCACAAGCAGAAATTGGTACACGGCTGCTATATGGCCACAACACTGTCAGGGCAAAAATCAGTCTGAGAGCTGTTAACGAGTGAAATTCATCAGCGCCAAATAACCTGATGTGCTTTCTGGTTTGGCCTTCCTCAGTGGAAACAATTAGGATTTAGAAGACAACTACAAAAAGCAAGAGATACACAGTTTGAGAGGGAACATGGGAGAAGAAGTGTTAGTGGTGGAAGCTGGAGTATATAATAAAAACATTACACTTACAAAAATGCCTTACATTTTCATCATGCACTAAATAAAGCAGATTATGTACTTTTGTTGTGGTTATTCAATTTGGTTAAGCAAGGCTATATAGGGAATATTTAGTTGTTTTTTGCTGAAAAATCACTCAGTGTGGTCTGGGTTACGTGGAGTGCTCATTGTTGCAAATTTCTTCCTCTTTTATAGAAAGATGTGGTGGATTTCTACCTGTCTCTCTACAAAGAAGAGTGATGCAGTCAAAGGTTACACAGGTCCATCTGCATGCTAACTGTCAAAAGTACAACTTTTGCAAGCTTTGCATTGACACAGCTCAATCTAACTAGGATGTTACGCATCCTGATTTTGGTTTTTGATACACATTTGCAAGTTTAAAGACAAAAAAAAATATATAAAAATGGTTTGCTCCATATCCACTGATAAATGTACCTAGCTGCAAAGCTTTTTTCACATTTCTCAACTTTTTTTCTTTTTCATATGTTGAATTGGTTGCCTCTAATAATGTTTTAACACCTGTTTCACAGCTGAACATTGAACAAGTTCACACAGTTTTATGTGAAAAGCACTCTGCGTCATGTAATGTGTCCCAACATACAGCTGGGTCCCAACCGGTCCAGAAGTCCAGTCCCAGCACATGCTGGCTTCTCTGCTAACATCTGTCCACCTCATCATCACGTCCCTCTGTTTCGTGCACACACAAAGCCCTCAAGTCAGACACAGGTGGTACACGTTTGCATGATGGGTGTGGTCTGGTGTTCGAATTTGTTGGTGCAATGTTCCAGAGAGCTGGAGCTCTTCAGCTGGACCAGGCAGCGTTCCGTCGGCCGGCCGCTCTGCAGCACACCCCAGCAGCACAGCACACGCAGGAACTCCCTCCTCATGTCTTTGCTGCGCAGCACGTAGATCATTGGGTTAAGCGCAGAGTTCAGAGTGGCAAAGCCAAAAAACATATCTGGTTTGCGGAGCACAGGGCAGTCATGGATGTTGCAGAACGAATCCAGGAGCAGCAAGATAAAAACTGGCAGCCAGCACATGATGAAGACACCCAGCACAATTGTGACTGTTTTCAAAAGCGAATATGCTTGGGAGTTAGTTGCTTCCTGTTGGCTGGAGCGAACGATCAAATAGATCTTCACATAAAGGATCACAATGGAGAGCAGTATGAGGGTAAAAATGGAAACAACAAATAGTATGTATCTCTTGGAGTAGAGCGGCAGCACGACTGAGCACTCAGGGAAGTTGTCGATGCAGTTCCATCCCAAGATGGGAAGCCCTCCGAGCAGAATCGAGGTGACCCAACAGGCTCCTATCAACAGAAACATGCGGCACGTTTTGGTGGAGCCGTACACTTTGACTTTGGTGATCGCAATAAAGCGCTCTATAGCTATCGCCAGCAAGCTGAAGACAGAAGCAGCCAGGGCGATGAAGGCTGTGCCTTCTCTGATGAACCACTGCACAGGGGTGAGTTCTAGGGTCATTGGCCCTGACAGCAATATATTGGCTATGTAGGCAGAGCCAGCCAGCAGGTCAGAGAACGCCAGGTTGCCGATGAAGAAGAACATGGCTGAGTGGAACTTCTTGTTGCGGAAGACAGAAAGTAAGACCAAAAGATTCTCGAGGATGATGATGATGCAGAGGACCACGAGGACAAGATTAAGTTCACCGAGCTGTTTTTTACCTTGATAGAGTTTCGTTGTGTTCGCCACTGTCTCGTTCTTAGCACAGGCATAGTATTTTATGATCAGATCCTTTTCATAGTATCGATCGTATATGCTCATCTTGGTGGGAAGGGGGCAGAGCCCAGTAGCTTTGCAGCAAAGATTCATTCAAACTGTGGAGTTGAGCAGAGCCTCAAGGGAATCAATTACTGCCTTTTTGGAAAGGACAGTAAAGCAGTTGTGGGAGGGAGGGGGACGGGGGCTGCTTGTCCTACAGTCACGTCTCAGGAGCCGTTATGTGTGTCACCTGTAGATAAACAGAAAGAGAGAATGCAAAAGTTAGTGTCAATGGAAATAAAAACAAACAGAGAATAAGCAAATAGAAAGTCAAAGATTAATGTACTTAATGTATCCAGGTAACGTGTAGATTATTTTGAACTGTGAAAAATAAGCGTTGAAAGACTAAGACCAAAGTCAAACATTTTCTAGCAAACAACGACGAGATCTACAATAAAAGAAGTTTGCATTTTATCTTCCCAGCCGATCAAAAATGACAAACGAAGAGCACGTTTCACACGGAAACTCTGCTCACACTTTGCATACCGTCACCGCAATATACTCCCAAGGAAAATTCAAATCTTCACCAGTGGAATAAGTCATTTACTTTGACTTTTAACGGTGAACCTGCACAGGCAGACGTCATTCTCCAGGTGAAAGAAAGAATCCTCTGTGAGCGTTGAAACAAAGGGCCGCTCTCTCAGTCTGAAGGGGACATTCCTCTAACCCTGTCCGAGCACTCAGCTGTCAACACACCGCATTGTTGTGCGGAGTGAGCCATTCCACTCTAGCGAGCTACCTCTTGAAGCTTCAGCATAGCATGTGGATCAGCTCGCACTCCTCGCCCTGACCTGCCCAACCGCCCACCTCCCCATCCACCTCCAGTCAGCTGAGAAAAGCCAGCAGCAAATCAAACAGATACCTGGCAGGAAGAAGCGGGGGCTTCTTAACAGAAAATGCTTGTTAAGACTTGAATGTGCTTTGCACTATTACTTCCACTTTTGCATATTACTGGTGCAAAATAAAAAAAAAAGAAGAAAAGAAAAAATTTCACTTGGGGCACTATTATGCCATGTTAATTTTTTTTACCAAATGAAGCACCTGTGTAGTCAATTCAACTTAATTTGAGTTGAGTCATGCTCCTGAAGGCAAAAAGACCTCTCCAGCCACTGTCATGGTTTCCCAGTAGTCTTTTATAGGGGGCAGCCTTCTCGCAAATGTAAGAAAATAAAAAAAATTAAACAGATGGACGCTTCACGACTGAGCACAAAGAGGAGTTGGAGGCTCTGGAAATCTAATTAGAGGTGAAGCCGGTGTCTTAAACCTGTCAAAAGTAACACGATCCCTCTACAGACCAGCTCCCAGGGTAATTCAAGACTGATGATTCCTTCCTCCGCCTGCATTTGTTCTCCTGGACGGCTGCAGCTATTTTTATTTTTTTTCTACATAAATGGATGGAAACTACGCCTGGACCGCCTCACTCTTCTGCTGGGCTTAGAGTCAGAATCTGGAAGGGTGGGCGATAAAGACAGAACGGGGACAAAGGCAGACGGGGATCAGGCATGTGGAACGGCATCTGGACACAAAGGCAAGAATCTGAGGATCTGTGACGTGAACACTCGCAGAGAAAAACCAACTCAGTGCAAACTTGTACAAAAAAAGAAAAATATTCCTCCCCACACAAAGTCAATAGTGACACCCTGATATTATTGAGGTGAAATATTCCCCTGCGTACAGGTAGGTTAAGCAAACAGCTGCTTCTGGCTGCCAGCTAGAACTAGAACAGTGCTTCCTCAAGAAAGAACAACGAACAATAGGCGCCTTCAGCGTGGACGGCGGCGGCAGCCTTCTGTCTTCATAACGGAGGAGCACACATGCATTTGGCTGCTGACACTGTATCATAACAGGAATATATTCGCGGTCGAGCACTCTGTTATCGAACTGCCATCTCAGGAGGCCTGTCTTCTCCTCATCCCTTTTAGCTCCATTTATAGACATAAATGCGAGACTTGAGCTTAGGCACATGTGCCTACTGCAGCAGGGTAATTACATTAGGTTGCATTATTGGAGGATAATGATTTTATTCATGCTGCATCTCCACAGAGCTCTGTCTGCTAAGAAAGCCACAGGGTTTTCTTTGTTTCATTTTGGTCTGGTTTTTGCAGGACAAGCTGCGTGTGGACAACTCAAGGTCCTCTTGTCGCTGAGGAGTCTTTGCCGTCTGTCAATAAGGGATTTGGCTGCATGTGGGGAAACCTGACAGGCTGGTTTGCTTGCAGCAGTGTTTTGTATTTGGCCCTGCCCTTCTACCTGCCATGTGCCATTTGGAGGATTTCCCTTGGTGATTGGTCAGCCGCACTACAGACTCCCTGCAATGTAAACCAACCCCCATCCACGCCCCACTCCTTCCCATAAGCCTTTGTTAAAATTGTGCCCCACGTTCGACCCAGACACCCGGCGTCACACATTCAGACAAAACTTGTCAAAAATCCAGTCATGCTGTTCCTGACAAGCAGAGAACAGAAAGAACTTAAAGAAAATTAGCTTCAGTGGTTCAGCCAAGCAGTCTAAGTAAGACAAGAGTTGTTGTTTTTTTGTCGTGAAGACGCTTTTGCTTTTTTGTCCCCACAATTTCAGCCTTTCAGATACATTTCAGTAGCATACAAAGATTAGCTGAGAAAGTAATACAAGCAGTTTTCAAATTGTGATTTAATTTAATCATAGAAAAAAAAAAAAAGCTATCCGAATCAACGTATGTGAGAGAAATTACTGCCCCCTTCTCCTAATAACTGGGTGTGCCAGCCTTGGAAGCAGAAACTGCCATCTGACGTTTGCAGTTATTGCCAATAAGTCTTAGAAATGAAGAACTTTGGCCCCCACTTCTTGCAGCATTGTCTTAAGCAAACTTAACTGTCTTCAAGCACAAACGAAAGGTTTAAGATCATGCCGATGAGATTACAAAATATAGTCATTTTGTGTGTGTTTTTTTTAGCCATTCAGAGGTGGACTTAATCGTCTGCCTTGGATCACTGATCTGCAGCAAAACCTAAGTGTGTTTGGGCCTAAGAACATCGCTAGACATTCTCCTTCAGGATTTTCTGAAAGTGACTAGTATTCATTGATCCAGTTAAATCAGCAAAGAAGTCCCCAGATTATCGCACCACCACCATCATGTTTAACTCTTGGTCTGATGTTCTTTTATCGGTTTCTGCTTAATATAATGGGACGCACGCCTTCCAGTCTTTTCTTTTCTTCACTCGACAGAACATCTCCCAGAAAGTCCTGGAGACGACCAAGACGTGTGTTAAGAAATGCGAGACGTGTTAGTTTTGTTCGCACCATAACTCTCACAGATAGCATTTTTGCCAAGTCTCTTCTTTATTGTTGAATCATAAATATTTAGCTTAACTCAGGGCTTTGAGAACTTCTGCATGGGTTGGCTTTTGGATGTTGACAGACCGACCACTTCTAGGAAGGCTCCACATTTTCTCCATTTGCAGATGATACTTTTTAAAGATATTTTATCCTACTTCAAGTCACCAGACAGGTTTTATTTAAGTGATCCTTTAAGTCAAAAGGTCAAGCACCAATCAGCCCTGGGTGTGACTAATTGAAACTGGACTTTTGTGCTTCATGACAGTTTGTTCATGATTAAACATGAGGTGCCAAAGGGGGGTTACTTATTCACACAGGGTAAGGTTTGTTTGTTTGCATTGCCTTTTTCCATCTACTCATATTATAAATATGCAAATAAACATTTACCCACAGAATCATTGGATGCTATCAGAATTCAATTTGGTGATCCTAAAATATGTAAGTGACAAAATAAATAAGTTTTACTTAGCAGTCTGTATACTTAAACCGTATAGTGCAGTATTAGTGTTACACTTTATAGAGATGCAAAGTTCGAAGAGGAAGAAAGTACAAGTTTATAATAGTACAGGAATTTTAAGTCCAACATTATTTATGTAAAAAGCAGAGCATCGCTGGCGTGTCCTGCATTGTAAATACAGCTGAAGACATAGTTGGGCTACAAAATTCAACATCCTGCCTGAATTTAGCAGCAAGGCCCACAGACATTTTCTAGGAGGTGATAAAAAGAAACAGCCTGAGAGCAAAGATATAAATCAAGTGACAGAAGTAAAAGGAAGCCAAAGAAGAGACAGGATATCCTTTTCAAAAACACAAAAACATAAAGCCAAGACTACATTTCACATGTGAGAAAAGATTCAAAAGGTGTTCGTGTGCACATTCCCATGAACTCATGCCACCAAATGGTTTGTGTTGTCGCAGCTCTGCCCACATTTCAACACCACATATCACAGCTGCACTCGGCTGTATTTTGCACAGAAATCTTTTTTTTAAAAACCATGCAAAAGATGAAGCAAAAGGTTTGCGCTTGAAAGCTGACTCTTGCTACCTGATAATCCTATCAGGAGACAGGCCTCCCTCCATCAACATGGGACTACAGACCGCACAAAAGCCCTCTGGTGCTTTCCCAGAAACACCCAATAAGCCCCAATTAGCAGACTGCCACCTCTCTAAAATACGAAGCAACACCGCATCATTACATCGCCTGCGAGCCGTGGCTCCGCACTTCAACCTCACTTCACTTTCTCCTGGTGTAAAAGCTCTTGGATCAACGAGGCTCCCCGCCTTTGAGACGGCATTTCCACCTCACGATCTGCAGCAACCGTCTTAGATAAGACACAAAAAAGCTGAAATTTAGGCAGTTTGTATTTGCATCTTATCTTGTTTGCATTCAAATGTTTTCACAGGCTGTTTAGTCAGATGAGTCACAAAAGCCTGTGTGGCAGTTCAGCAGTTTGTGGTCTGAAACGTAAACGTAACGTATCTTCTCCCATCTGCCCTTCATTCTCCTTGCACACAAGCCGCTGTAGTAATAACAAACACAACCAATCCAGCTTCTGGTGCTACTCTAAAGGATGTGTGTTTAGACTTTAAAAGGAATGTTTTTTTTTATGCTAGGATTATTATAAAAGGATATTAATTACGGTTGGAGCCTATTTATCTTCAGTGGTTTAATGACTTCCTTTGCTAAGAGACATCAGGCTGAAAGCCATTTCATAAGCAGAAATTAAATAATCCACAATGATCACAGAGAACCGTACTACTTCTACTACAACTACTGCGATCAGTTCTTACCTTGTCAGTTTCACAGCTTTTAATAGAAAGGCTAATTTTATCTGTAAAAGAACTGTGACCTACATCTTTCTTCTTCCTTCACTTTTTTTTCATTTATTACATTCCTCTGCTGACTCTTTAACCCTTTAGTGTTTCGTTGACATGGTTTAATAAATTACAGCCAAGAATTAAACCACGTATGTACAATTTAATACAGATATCTGCATAAAAAGACACAAAACATTTTCCCTTTAATGTCTGACAATGACTCCTGTTTTAGGTGGTTAGATCAATCAATCAATCAATCAATCAATCAATCAATCAATCAATCAATCAATCAATCAATCAATCAATCAATCAATCAAATTTTATTTGTATAGCACATTTCATCAGCAAGGCATTTCAAGGTGCTTTACATAATTAAAGAAAAAAATAAATAAGAACAGCATGTGACATTGAATAAACAGTAAGAAAGACAAAGAGATTTTGAAAAAAAAAAGAAAAAGATTAAAAAAGATTAAAAAAAATATAAAAACATACTTTTGTTACGGAATTTAAGCGCCTGTCGTCGCCGGACTCCGTCGTCCATTTAACACGGGTATTATCCAGGCCCCGTCGGCTGACAGGACGGAATTTACAGATTTTTTGTCAAAACGCCATTTGACAAGGATTCTCACACCTCAGAGTTTTAGTTAAAACGCCATTTAACAAGGATTCTCACACCTCAGAGTTTTAGTTAAAACACCATTTAAAAGAAATTAATAAATAGATAAAAAGTAAAGATAAAAACATTAAAAACATCAAAAACATTGAAGACATCAAAACCCACACTCTAATCCTAATTTAGCCATAAGCAACTCTAAACAGGTGGGTTTTAAATTGAGATTTAAAGGCACCCCGTGTTTTAGATCACATTTGCTAAAAGCCCCAAAATGATTCAACAGTTTTTTTTTTCTGTAAAAGTGTCCATGCAAAAATATTGCTGCCACCTTACTTTACTTTACAGTTGAGATGAAAGTACTCAGGATTACACATGTCTCTCTTTTTACTTCAAATGTATTGTTGATCATTATACCCAAACAGTTTAATTTAAGCTGTAACACAAAAGGACGCGTCCCAAAGATAAACATCTTTTACCCTATGTGAATTTATGAACTCCAATCTTTTTCTGACGCCTTTGGACTAACGGCCTCTTTCTCTCCGAGTGGCCATTCAGCTTAAAGGACTCATTTCACTGTGGATACTGACACTGTATCACCAGCTTCAGCCAAGACCTTCACAAGATGCACATTTTACACCAAAACACTTTTAAAACAGAGAACCAGTCTCTTTTCCTGAATGATGCAGAGACCGGACCGAGACCAAACCGCTGGTCTGGTTGTTTGGTCCGCACCAGAGTTTGCTTAATTGTGATCTCAAATGCACAAAAGGTCCGGATTAATTGGGGGAAATGAACTCTGGTTCGTTTGGGTGCTTGAAAGCACCCAAAATTGCTTAAATAAATGACCGAGGCTCTTTTATGCGTCAAATAATTAAGCACCAAGCAGAGTAGAAGAAATACGCCGTTTTCTACTGCTGTGTTGAATTTCCTGTAAATTTTTCCATGACGACATATAAGAAAGCAGGTTTGATTTAATTTAATTTAAGTTAAATGTTGCGAATTAACCTCCCAGGAGATTTTAAAAACGGCTTTCTCGGTTTTTTTTTTTTTTTTTTTTTTTTTTAAAGAAGCGTCATAGTCTTAACGTATGTAAATTCCTAAATTTGAAAAGTGATACAACAAAATCACATTATTCTGGCATCTATAAATACAGAAATTCTGCCAACCTGAGAAAGGCAGTAATTGTTTTTGTTTTGTTTTGTACAAACTTATAAACTTATATTTAAATATCAGGGCACACAAAATGAGGCAGAAAAAGTCTCCCGAAAGGAAAATTCCATGTAACATGTACAGTAGTCACAAAGTTTCCCCAGTCAAGTGTTGACATGTCTCTCTCTCTCTCTCTCTCTCTCCCTCACACACACACACACACACACACACAGAAGAGAAGGAAACACAACTATTCCCACCACAAAGTTTCACCACAACTCCCACAACGTTTCAAAAGAAGCTCCTTAAGTGGTACATGCGTGCGTCTTTGCCCCCACTTTATGATTCATAAACTGTGTCATGATGATGTTTGCGTTCCCACCTCCACCTCTGCGTGGCAGGCTTTTGGTTTTTTATCGAGCTGAACTATGGAGTCATAATGTGCCACCAGAAACCACAGTGGCCATATACGATGCCTGCAGCAGCTCTCTGCTGTGTTATCAATCACTGGACCCCAAGCCTCCATCTGTGTGCGATAACTGTTTCACATAAGCACAGCCAAACTATTGATTGTTCACCAGAATTTATTCATTTTTCCAGCCTGCCTCCAACTGCTGTTGGGAGGAGGTGGATTTGGGTCGCGGCTGCCGTGACACGACTGAACTTTATTCTGGCCCTTCGAATGACACCGGCGCCACAAATCTCTATAGCTGGGGGGGGGTGAATAAAATCAGCAAAAGCAAACAGTAGAGTCAGAATCTACACGTTTCTCTGTTTTGGTGTTACACCGCAGTGCAGCTGTAGCAAAACAGAAATGATCATTGTGCGCCTCTGTTGTTGCATTAAAGTCAAGCAGAAGTTCTCACTAGAGTACAGAGTAAATGTCACCTTACCCACAGAAGAAATGCATTCAGGTCCTCAAAGCTATCGCAACATGTTTGTATCTCTAGATGTCATCAAAAGAAGGGTTGACAGCTTTTGTCAGCAGCAGAGCTCTGAGTGTGACCTCTGCTCCACTCATCTGGACACCTTCTCAGCGCTTACTGCTCTACTTCAGAAGTCGAGAGAGCAAAATCTGGAGAGACAGAGACAGGGAGTCTCACACATTTTAGCAGTGATTTCCTGTGCACTGCATGTATGCAACAGAAGCAAGAGGATAAAAGGGTAGGAAGTAGATTAGATTTTTTTTCTTTTAAAGGTCACAAGAGACAAGCCAAAAGTGAAGGAGAAGAGTAATCTAGAAGGAGGCCGTGTGTGTTCAAAGGTGTAAAATATGAGATGGGGTCTTGCAACATCTCACCATCTTGTCTTTAGAGAGGAACCTCAATTCAGAGAGCAGCTAATTCACGACACACACAAACAAACACACACACAACAAAGAAGAGACTGTCCCTCATCAGACAGGTCCAGGCCTAAAACACATCCCTATTTTTAAATAGAGAAGTATGAGATTCAAAACTGTATCAGTATCATAGCTGCATCAGAGCTTTTCGGACAAGAGTGAAGCTCTTCCTCTTTTCGTGCAAAATTAAACTGTTCCCTGTTGTGCATTTTACCTTTTGTTTGTGTCAAATGTTTAATTTTAGCCACACACGCCATGCCTTCCTCTCTCTTTGTCCTCTCCCATGTACGTTCAAGCTTCACAAACGCTGCATATAATCTATAAGACATCGGGGCAGTGTGTGTCCCCAATACGTGGGGTTTCATCATATAATTAGGGATTACCCTTTCGCTCGTCAAACTCTTGACAGTTTGAGCACAACCGCCCTTGTGAAGCATCCAATCTGTCAGTCTGAAGTAAAATCATCTATATATATATTTTTTTGCTTTTTTTTTTTTTTTAATTCTCACTTTCAGAGTTACTTGTTTATTTTTTTTTTTCTATTGCTCTACGGGCAATGCTATCTCTCCTGATTGGCAATGCTTTATTTATTGCAACTTGTGACAGCGAGAGGATGTAAAAACAAAGAGCTGTGTAAAGAAGGGCATCATGTAGCCTCAGGAACCATAACCCCCTCCCCTTTTCTAGTCTGTTCACTCTTCCCAGATGGGGAATTAGTACAGTCACCCTTAGACCATTTCTGTCAACTTCAAGCTGCTCTCCAAATCATTCAGGTTCTTAAATTGCTCTAATTTGCATATTTCTACTTGACGCTGAACCCTGATTTCCAAAGCCACATCATCTCTAGCCCAACACCCCCTCTTTGCTGCGTAAATTTTAAACTTGCCTCAGAGATCAAAGGATGGGGGCCACAGAGAAGTGATTAAATGCACATTAAGACAGATTTATTTAGCGCACATTTGAAAGAGGCATGTTCTTAAAGCCGTTTTATAGAAATCTTCATTACAGCCCACACTGGGCCGTCAGTTCTCAGTTTAGGAGCTTTGCTTCATGAAACAATGTTTTCCAACCCAACTCAAATGTGCATGTTCAGAAAAAATTTGATACTGTTGTTCACTTGTGCATTTCCTTTACAGACAGGATGTGATCTCAGGTGTTTAGCTGTCCTGGGGTTTTCACCACATGCATTAGTTAGCTACGCAGAATTTTTGTTTGCGTCTGGGACATAGGTAGACCTCATATAAGAAGTGCTGATGCGAGTTAGTTAGGGTTGCGTGCTTGAAAGGGGGCTAGTGTTAACCACACTCTAAATGTTGGGACTCGAGTGTGTCAGATGTGCACATCCACTTTGCACAGTTCCTTTTCGGGCAGATCGGTTGCAGAGAAAGACAGTAGGTCAGATGTACATGAAGCTCAACGGCATGAATCGTGCTTGATCTGAGCTTCACGCACCCTGAACCTCTCACACCTTTCAGTGTTGTTCTCTTTATATTTGGATCTCTCCTAATGAAAGGTTTTCAAGTTCCTTGGGCGTCTTTTGTTTCAGCTCTTTGCTCATTTTCTACTCTGTAGATCGACCTTGAGCTCCACCCTTTCTCAAGTTCTCTTGTTTTGTTGGGAAAGCTGTGAGAGGCCTGATTATTTGTTGCATTGCGAGCTATGACAACATACATTGAAGAGAGTGTGTTTTGCAAGTCCTTAGGGTTGTTCATTAAACTGATTTTGCACTGATTAACAGGGCTGTAAACAACCCAGGAATAATACAAAAAAAAAACAAACAAAAAAAAAACATCATAAATAATATTGGAGTGCAATCTGATGGAAAATTACAAAAATCCACAAAGGCTAGCACAAGAAAGCACAGTGTATCCCTGAATGCATTTTCCTCAGGGCCAACAGTATTAATCTTACTTGATGGAGCCCTCAGTCTTTCCTTTTCATTGGCTGTTATAGGAAACACATTTTAGACTCCTCTGGCAAACACAGATCCATTAAACAAAATCCTGTTTTAGTGGAAGAAAAACACAGTTGCCTGGAGAGGGAACATTGTAATGTCCACACACTCTACAGTTGTTAACCAGAACTTTAGGGGTTGTTTTCTGTTTTCCCTAAAGAAGGGAATTAATTTACCTAACAAAAAAAAACAAAAAAAAAACTGGTTCTGTAAAGATTAGTTATACGGAATATACCCAAAAAATAAGAATCAAGTGCATAAAGTTTTTGCAAGTATTATTTTGTTATTTAACTTTTGGCTTGTTGAGGGATTTTTCATAGCCTAGGAAAAGGACTGTTTTTTTTTTTTTTTACAAACAAAATATGTGGAACTTAAGTTCCTTCTTGTCAGCAAAACAGCTGCACTTTGGTTTTACATCACAATTTGGGTGGTTTCCAGTAGTTTCAATAAAGAAAAGCAAACATATCTATATAATTGTTTACTCTACTCAAGAGTGCATAAGGAACATTTACATTTTGTAACAATATGATTTTATCAATATATTTCAGTATTTAAAAAAGGGGGAAGGAATTTTTTTTGCTTGATTTGGTCCATTAATAAAATCACTGAAAATGGTTAATGCTGTTGTTTTGGATTTTTTTTTATATATTCAAAATACATGTAAATCCCTTTGGAGTTGTTTTTATGCAAGAACAACACAATTTACAAACTTGGACTCCTCTCAGCAGAATGCCGACATACAGCTGCATGTCTGCTTTTGCTGATTTCTCAGTGCGATCTGATTGCTTGAAACCTTCGGTGGTTTCAAGTGAATAATTAAAATCAGTGTGAAGTCAGCTACATAACTGCTGTTAGAAAATGCTGACATTGAGCTTTGGTTCTGCTGATCTCTTTGTCTCCATCGTCACAGTGGCGAAAGCTTTGGGAAACATTAATGTTCCCAAACAACACACTTAACTGATAGCGTGGAGTGTGCTTTTAAAGTTGCACAACGGAAAATTGAACTGTGCACCTTAGTCACGCACATAAAGGTTCTGCATCTGTGTAGGTTTAAAACAAGGCTGGATCCGTTCATTACACGTGTGGGCTGAGCAGAGAAGGTCTGCGGTGCAAACCTGTGCAAATACTAATACACCCCTAGTTCACATGTAAAGGAAAACCTCTATAGTTTAACAGTTTTGTTGACAGCCAGAATTGAAAGCTCAAGATCATAATTCCTGCCGCTTGTGTCTGAGCTGAGCAAATATTTCATCCAAACTTTAGATCTATAAATAAGTCATAGCCTCTTCTCCTATGGCTGCTTGACCCTTTTGAGGGAAAATGAAAATACAGCAATGCAAGAAGGCAAAAATGCAAAAAATAAAAACAAAAAAATCAAGCATTGACAATAACAACAGGAGGTCAATGGTGGTTCAAGGTGGGCCCCGGATTAATTTCTACACAGAGCCTCTCACAACCTTGAACTTGCTTAATATATATGATGGAACGATGGTGAAGCATTTCCAAGGAAGTTAAAGGCGATCCCCTTACTCTAAACTGCCTGACACGGCTCATCTAAAGTGGAAGCGGTCGAGCCATTGTCAGTTACACAAACTGGCTGCACTTCCACTGAAGCTGTCTTTTCTAAGAGAACTGTCTGGCCTCTGTTTTGACCCTCCTTGTGGGTGGCTATTGGTAAATCTCCTTCCAAAGACCCAAGGCTTTACTCATAACAGCTATAACCAAAAAGAAAAAAACCAAAACACGTCATTACTTTAGCGCAATTTTGAGGTCTGTCAGTTATTACGAAATTTAAAGACCAGACACAACGCAAAATCTTAAGTTCCAGATAAAACAAATGGATTTAGCAGACTGACTAGCTGTAGAGAAAGTCTGAACATCCGAGAAGACTGTTTCCAACATATTTCAGAGTCTCTGGAGGGTGGGGTTTTGGAGTAATCCTGTTGAGTTTTGCAGCTGTACAAACAAGCTGACTGCACAACAAAGACGTCCAACGGCGAACCAACGATGTCGGAAAGAACAACATCATCTTAATGCGCACCTGGTCAGGAAAGCATCACTTAAGAGTGAACTCCGAGAATGTCCGAAAAAACAACAAAAAAATAAAAGTCAAGAAACCACGACATGACCACACTGATTAAGCCTGCTGCCAGAGCAGATGAGTTGTTCCCATCTAAGTCATAAATCACAGTACAACCCAAACAGTGGTTGCAAAGTGCTGCTGATCCCATCCACAGCCACATCACAAACCAGAAACCCTGCTTTTGAGTCTACTTGTCATTGTCCCTGCAGGAGGTATAATGTTCTTGTGTGCATCTAACTCTTGAGCAACATCCCACAAGGAGAACTGCTACTCAGATCAGCCCGTTTCTGTCCTTTCGTCCAACTGGCAGCTTTCTTTTGGGATCGAGGCTCGATCCAAGTCTGAAATGTGAGGAGGAGGGAAGTGTTATCCACATGCAAGAAAGCGTTAGGAAATCCTGGCATGCTGCTGCAAGCATCAGTGCCTGGCCATGGGGGGTCTTATGGTTTATCCAAGTACTTTAAGTGGGAAAGGAATGTAACAGGACACTTTTACACTAACGAGCTCCTTTACTGGAAAAAGAATACCTTCATAATACCTTCAAAGGTCATTCCCCCCACCCCCTCCACCAAATATCAGTTTATGTAACTGTTTATGTAATAATCAGTTCAACCTTTACATCCAAGAAAGTTTGTTTTAAAAAGGAAAGACAGATGTGGCCAGTGAGTGGTCATCTGTGTTATTCTACCTCCAAGGAAGACTGAGCACCTCCTCCTTTCAGTTCTGTTTATGAAATGAGGAAAAAGAAAAAAAACAAAGACCGCCATATTTATAGCCCTGATTGGGGGCACTCCTCGCTGCTTGCTGTGAGTCAGAAGTCTACATGCTGTCAGCTGTGTGTTGTGACTTGCACTTCAGTAACTTGCGAACAGAAGGCGTTTATTTTTTGTTGTTTTTTTTTTTGCCACACCCGAGGAAAGTGTTTTTCTTCTGAAGAGAACCAGTTAGAACTCTTAACACAGAGAACCCAAATGGCCGTCCAAATCCCCTATTAATATCACCGCACAAACCTCTCAAATTAGCTATGAACATGTGCATCGACTGCTGGCGTTTTCTGTGGTTTCTGTTCTGTCTAAAGGCAGAGTCTTCTTGCTGTGGCTCGACACTGGTTTTATTCAACCAGGTTAAAAAACAGGTCAGCTCTGGCACGTGGCTCCATGCAGTCGTCTCTCGGAGTCAAGGCTCATATGAGCCGACTCTATAAAGTGGTGACAGAAGACAACAAAAGAAAAGTCAGGCTCCCAGAGGAAAAGGCTTCTCGTTGCTTCCTATAAATGGACCGCTCCCAGGCCCGGCTGAAATGTGAGCATCCTTCAGGGATGGACACCACCCATCCAAAATCCATCCCGCCTTCAACCCCCTTGTGAACTGGTTCAATAAAAAAAAATAAAAAAAAAATCCCACAATTCTAAGTTCCCACCACTCAAATACCATTAATTTATTTATCCGTGCATGCACTTATACATCTATTTATTGATTCAACTCATCTATTTGTCTTAATTTCTCACGCTATCCCTTAGCAGTCCCCCCCCTGAGAGAGCTCAAATTTCAGCAGTCAACTTCTAGAGGAATACAGAGCCATGGAGCAGAGTGAGCTGGGCCAACAGCACGTAGATCCTGAACTCTGAGGTGATGACCTGCTGATGTGAGTCAATAACCCAGCTCTGCAGAGCCCAATTTGAGTGCTTCACATCATCAGCAGGCTGCCATGAGGTGAGAAGTTGTGGTCAAAGTCTTGAAGCCTTTCACAGCACCCTCCAGAGAGGGTCCACGGACTGTGCATGGCGAGTGTTGAAAAACCCGACAGCGGTCAGGTTCGGTGGGTTGGGCGGGTGCTTTGCTGGCCCAGTGAGCCATGTGATCGCATGAATGCAATATCGACGGGCATGTGGCCGCGTCCACCTGCCCTGTCTCCAGCCGATCACGGTCCAGAGGTGGTCATGCATGCCCGAAACAAAGACAGCAGCCCTCATCCCGCTGCAGCATCATTCAGTCTGCTGACAGCCCTTTCAACAATCTTATCCAAACTCTGCTGAAGGAGCTTCCTCTTCTCCCCTTATTCCTGATGTTATCACACTGATGCTTGCTTGAATTAAACAAGCTTTTCAGGACCCCTGCCTGCTTTTCTTGTTTTGTTTTTTTTTGTCCCATTGCTGCAGCTGAGAGTTTAGACAGCGCACTCACAAGCCCAGGCAGATTCAGGGAGCTTGTTAATGAGCTCCACGCTGTGCAGTGTGAACCAGGTCGAGCACAGGCTAGAGGTTGAAGGATGTGGGCTTTTTATCAGGACAATAAACACTAGTTCCTCTGCCTTATCATCTTATCACACCGTGACTTGAAGAATCTCCCAGGACGCCTTCTGGAGCCCTGACACCCATGCATCCTTCATCGGCACAACGATCTTTAAAGGAAGACTTAAACTTGACCAGAAAGAGCAGCTTTACATGATGAAATGTGTGCATAAAGAACTTGTGCAACGTCCATTTCTGCTGACAAACTGTGCCCTGTTAAGTCATTCCTTGCAAGAGTCTCTGAGCTGCAGCTCAAACCCCACGAGATTAACTCCTATACATGGGGATAATGGGGGCTTTTGTCTTATTAATACATCCTTTCAATACAATGCTCTCTTTAGAGTGACGGATGAACAAGCCTGGACAGCATCGGAGCGTAGGGTCAGAGAGTGGAGGGCGGGGAGGAGGGGGCGCAGCAGGCTGCGCAACGGCTCCAAGGAGCTGCGAGGCTCCTAAACAACTCCACGGCAAATGATGCAGCGGGCATAGGATGGACCTGTGCGTGGACATTCATCACTGCAAAGTGTTTTCACTAAAAAAGCAGAACGTTTAACAAGCACAGCTGTCACGTGGGACCCACAGCAGCGTTTGGAGCTGAAGCGTGAAGAGGTGCCGCTTGTTGTGGGCGATCATACTGTCATGAGTTAGTCACTGGAACATTTCCAGAGTTCGTTGTAAACTCAGATGTTCGGTTGATCATTGCGCGCGTTTTGACTCACGGAAACATTGCAAATCAGGGGAGAGTACACAGAGGATGGGGTTCTGAACATGAAACATTTCTGTGAAACGCGCAAAGTCCCAAGAATCGATTCGATGTATCACGTAGGATACTTACGGGAAGCGCGGAACCTATTGTTCGCGTGCTCCAGCACATGCTGTCACAATAAACATATATATATATATGTATTAGAAGAGCGTACAACTTACCCCATGAGAAAGAGAGTATGGAGCAACAGGGGTGAAAAAACTGCGTCCAAATGTCCCCACACGTGTTTAAAAAAAAAAGTAAAAAAATAAATAAATAAAAAACAACCTAAAAACTGAAAACGCTGCGCTGTTTTCCTCCGCTCTGGGGTCGGGAACCAACGGTGTCAATCAAAACTTTAGTGGACGACTAGACATCATGTCTTGTCTAGTCTGTGGTAACTAAATCCATACCGGTCTGTGTTGAACCACAGAAGCAAAGTTCAGCCGACA